ACCTTCCTTTTCTAACATACCTTTCGCTTGTGGTCACCCACAAATACTACCCCCTCTCCTGACATGTACTAAGCCCAGGCAGATCAAGAGAACTAACATTAAAACCCAGCAGAATGTTTTTAACAGTGGAAGTGAAGCTGGAGACAGCAGCAGCCTCTAAGGTGATGAGACTAACAAGCTTGTGATGATAAATGCACTGAACTGAAGCAAATCACAGCAGCAACTCAAGGCTGAGAGACTGACCCTGTCTGTGGTCCAAAAACCCTAGAAGAAATAGAACCCCTCCCTGTCTCAAAATAGTGTCAACTGTTCCAAGAAAGAGGGACATCAGATGTAGCTTCCAAATATACTGAGGTGAAGCTAGCCAGCAGAGACAACCTTCCAAATGGCAGGCTGGTGGTCACTGTGCCTTCAGGTAAGAAAGGCCAGCTGTCCCATAATGTTCATAAAGACTGGAACATTCCTACCCTTAAATACTGATCTGGTGCCACAGCCACAGTATTGTGTCATGGTGAGCACCTGTATAGAGTAGGTACCCAGGCAAGGATGGGACCAGCTATCATACCCAACAGATACTGTGAGTTATCAAAGACATTGCGTCCTCTCTTCGAACTAAGACAAACAGCATATTAGTGAGTTTTGTACTTTTCCCGTTGATTTTGTTTCACACAGAAAAGCAAAAAGACACAAGTGGAAGGCAAACTATTACATAGAAGCTGAAGAGAGGAGGAGAGAGTGGAATGCAGGCATGCCTGACAGAGGACAAAGGAGAGAGGCATGGTGAACTTGATAGGTTTGCTATCTCCAAAGCCATGCACCGTCCAGTAAGACAACGAAGGAGGAAAAGACTTTCCTTTTCTTTTCTGACAGCTGGAGCATAAATGGTGACTGCAGTAATATCAGAAATTATTGGCTATGTTGAACATTCTTGCGAGTGAGGTGCCAGCATTACAACAAATCTGAAATATTGGCCCCAAGGTGCCCTAGCATTTTGTTTTTCCAATGCAGGACTGTCACTTGCAGGAAAGGAGTAATGCATGCTGGCTAGTGAGCGGCATGCTGGCCAGACACCATGTTTGGACAGCGTCAACCTGCACTCTGGGATCCAGCTCGGCCATCTTTTGCAAACAGTACTGGTCACAGTAGCGGTTTCTCTCAGAGATGATCAAAACTGAAAACAGTATTTACAAATCACTAGCCCAGAAAGGACCTCAATTTCTGACAACATTGCCACCTCTACAAATGTTTGAAGAAACTGGTCTGGCTCCATCTCAAGGAAATTGATTACTTACAGCTCCAATCTAGTTAGCACCCATCTGAGGAGAGCACAGACAGCTTCAGAAATAAAAGCGTTCAACGCTCATCATTTTGCAACTTTTAAAAATGTCCTCAAATATATCAGACAACATTATCACTCTAATTTAATTTCCTGGTTATGAAAAGGCAACATTATAAAGCCAAGAATTGATAAGGCAAATATTTCATCCATAACAACATTTAAAGTGGATCTCAAACATCAAATAAACTCTAGAGACCCTTTCTATTAAGCTAAAGTCTACTTGCAGACAAGTCAGACTGACTTTTCCATACCAACTGTGATCACTAGGTAGCATTGCTGTGCCCTAAAGCCTTTAGAATGGTAACATTTACACAGCCTCGCAATCACAGCTTGACGTGCTGAAGACTGTCTTCTGTCAAAACACTGTGAAGGGACCGAAGAGACAGCTCAGTCGGTAAAGTGCTTGCTACTCAAGCATGAGGACTTGAGTTCAATCCCCAGCACCCACAAAAAAAGACAGACATGTTGACAAGTTCATAATCCCAATGTTGGTAAGGTAGAGGAGGTTGGTAGTTCCCTGGGGTTCACCGGCTAGCCCGTCTGGCCTAATTGTCAAGTTCCAGGTCAGTGAAAGATTCTGTCTCAAAGAACATAGTGGAAGGCTCCTGAGGAAAGACACCCATGTTTGATCTCTGGTCACACACACACACACACACACACACACACACACTAGATTTTTAGATGGGAAAAGATGACTGTACTTTTCATTATTTGTCAGGACTCCTATGATCTGTATTAGAGAATCACAATGGAGAGAGACAGCAAACAAGAAATTCGCACAGGGCAGCATTCCTATGTGTTCTACACTGGTAACCATTAACAGTGCTGCAGTCCTCCCCAGGGTGTTTCTAGGACGTCGTCTATAACCCATGAAGACAGAGTGGAAACAACACACATCTGTCTCAAGTGTCTGAGCAGAGAGCATTATGATGGGGGCAGGCAGGAAGAAAGGGAAAATGCCACGAATCTGGCCACTTCAGATCACACGTTCAAGAATTGCACTTCAGCAGTGAAGGAGAAGTGGAAAATTGGCATCAGTCAATAAAACAGCAATTTCTCTCGCTCTACTCTCTCAGCCATTCTTGAGCAATGCCCTGTTAGGACTAAAGGTCTTGGCTGAACCTTTGGTTGACTTCCATATTAATTAGCACTGTAACGAGAGCCTAGTTCTTCATGAAGGGGGAGCTGTTGAAACTTCCTAATACAGATTGGCCCTACACACCTCTTCAATTACTTTGCTAGTCATATTAAAAAAAAATGGCCTCCACAGAGAAGTTATCAAGTGGTAAGCCCACAGAAGATATGGTGCCAAGGTAAAACAACAGAAAAGCCATGAAGTCCCGTTCTATATGTGTATACACATAGACCATTTTACACAATGACTAGCGAATGATAATGATTCCAAGTGTTTATGACTTAGCCCGCATTGTTTAAAATTATTACTTATGTCACAACAAAACTTACATACACACACACATGTTCAGACAATTCAGACAGACTTTAAATCCATGGCTAGACATCATGAGTAAGTAAGATTTACTGAACTTAGCTTTGCTTATCAATCACATTTCATCTGGAAATTTTTCCCGGAACATTAAGTGAAATAATGCTGTTTTTAAAGAATTAAAATGTTATGCAGAGGCAGACTCAGGAAGGTTGCTGCAAGTTCAAGGCCAACCAGGGCTACATAGTGAGACTACGTCTCAAAGGGACAAAACAGTTAGATTCTCTCCATGAAATCTCCATGAAGCCTATACGCTTAAATTTAAAACTAATAGCAATTTGAGACTGTGAACTTATAAAGTCAATTCAAAATTAGTAATTTGAGACTTGAGAACAACAAATAATTAAATAATGATATCGCCGGGCGGTGGTGGCGCACGCCTTTAATCCCAGCACTCGGGAGGCAGAGGCAGGCAGATCTCTGTGAGTTCGAGACCAGCCTGGTCTACAAGAGCTAGTTCCAGGACAGGCTCCAAAAGCCACAGAGAAACCCTGTCTCGAAAAACCACAAAAAAAAAATTAAATAATGATATCAAAGTCACCTGTCAGTTGTTTATAGGCAAACAGGAAAATAAGGCAGCAGTGTTACTTAACAAGCATAGCTTACTCTCATTAATTTCCCCTCGAAAAAGTGCACTGCATATACTCCTAGAATAGATTTTCAAATTCTCACATCTTGCATGTCACAACATTCAAAGTCATTCCAAGTAAAAGAAAATATTGCCATTTACTTTCAAGCACCTAGATGCCACCAGCATAATCTTCTTCTCTAGACCAACTCTCTATTTAAAATCTTCTCACACCCAGTTACTGCACTCAGTGTCAGAATAGAATAGTAATGACTTAGATTCAAATACGTAGGAATCTCAATGCATCAATATGGATAAAAATAGTGAAACAGTCACCTAGTCTCTTGTTTTTTTACCTCTTCATCATGTGGTGTCTCAGACACATCTAACTGCCTTTACAAGTCTATGGAATAGCACTGTCCACAGACTACATGATGAGGAGCTGGCATTGTGTCTGGGCTCTATGTGTCTGCTCTTAGAGCAATACTGATATTCCCTCCAGCCCGTTCCTCACTACCTTTTACCTTCTCTGGGCCACAGAAGTAAACGTTGGAATTCTGCATGGGCTAAGGCAGCACACAGTCTTTCTTCTGCATGCACAATCAATTCACAATCTCATCCTGGATTCAGGGGGCTCCTGCTAATCAAAACCCTTATAGACATTCTTGACTTCAGTGTGTGATTTCCAGTTGTCATTGTCAGCTAAAGAAACCTAAGCTGATACACACCTCAGGCAACACACTTAAGAAAAATAATCCCAGTAAAAACTACAAGAGAAAAAATCAACACAGAACTTACATAAAGAACACTGCATCCTTAATTTTAGTAAGCTTGTTGATTATTGCCATCTTGAAGTTACCTAAGCAACCACTCTAAAACCCAAGCGAAACCCAAATGTGTCTGTAGCTCGATGCCTAGAAGTTTGATGCCAAAAACATGACAGAAATCTGTCAGATATGTTTGTGGAAGGGGGAATCTGGATTGCACAGATCTATCCCATGGACATACGACCCTAGAGTATAGATGCTATAGATAAAAACACCAGAAACAATACAAAGTGCAGAATTAGCTTAAGACCAACAGAACTAGAATCATTTAGTTGTGAGTAAACTCATGAAAGCATATACATCCACGAATATAATCATTCTTGCCACACATCTGCAACGTGGTCTCACTTTATTTCCAAAGTATGGTACACTTGAGAAATTATTATAATCTAAATGTTTGGAAGGGGGACTAGGAAAAGCCTCTGGAAATTACAAGGGGTGCTATTAAATCAGGGGGAGCAAACAAAACTCATTGAATGGTCAAACATGCAGTGATTGATAAGGACAGGTGACGATAACAATCAGCAAAGAATATGCCAGGTCTCATCCACTTCTTGTCACTTGGAAACATCCAATTGTATTCTAGTATAGTACATAATCATTGATGATCTGGGAATTCACAAAATTGATAAATACTCTGATTCAAACAAAGGACATAGAAAGGAAAAAAGGGAGGAAGGAAAGAAGGAAGGAAGGAAGGAAGGAGGAAAGAAAGAAAAAAGCTGAAGGTTCCCTTTTCTGAGGGAAGAGCAGAATTCTTACCTTTCTGTATACCAGCATGTTCGGTGATTCATCTGCCACCCCGTTGCTGGTCTGTCCATAATTATTCCCCTGAGCCATTTCACCCAGAACTTGGTCCCTCCTTTGTGAGGATGATCAGTCCGCCCTACAAAGGATCAGAGAGGCTCCAGTGAGATCCTGGAGGGAGTCCTCAAGAGAACAGACTCCCCTGACTCATCTTCATGTCCACAGTACCCAATCCACGGGGAGAATTCTCCCATCCCGGGGCTGACTGGAAGGACACCGGACATAGACTTAAAAAGAAAGAAAAAATAGGAGAAAGAAAAGGAAAGGAAAAGGAAGGCGTTTACAGCTGTAGCAGCCCCGGGGAATTTTAACAGACAGCCTTCCAGTGAGAAACAGTCATCTGGCTAAGGTTTCTGTGAGCTTCATTTTATGGACACTCTTTTTGAAAGTGTTAAGTACTCACTTAAAACCCGTGGTTTGCACTTCTCTAGTACCGACAGCTCTCTGGGATGCTTGCAGCACCACTTGATGTGGTCCTCCCCAAAGAGCGGAAAGCCAACACCCATGGCAGCCCACTTTCCCAGTAGCCCAGTAGTTTCCCATGACAGGCACATCAGAGGCCCCTTCCCCACAAGTGTTCTCCTGCACAGTCTCCTCTCCATTCCTCGGGTCCCCCACACAGCCTGGGCAGAGGCTTCTCCACTTTCACCTGCCTTCACAGCCAGCCCATGGCTCCTCTGCTGCTCCCACCTCACTCGGAGCACTAAGTCTGAACCTAATCCTTACTGATCTTTGGAAGAAAGCATCCGAATTAGGTTCAGGCAACCGGAGGCTGGTGAGAAGTCGAGCCTTGAGCAAATCACCTGGCACACCGCGGAGAGCAAGCTAACTGCACAAGCCTGGAGCGATCAGCCAGGAGCGCAGAAAAAGCTGAGTCCCAGCTCATCCTGCTTGGCCCTCGCTCTCAGAGGCAGCAAATGGCAGGCAGGCAGGCAGCCTTGCCCCGCACCAAGGCACCGGCGGCACCGGGCAGCAGTTTCAGCACCGTGGACCGCGGCGTGCGCAGCACCCCAGCCCGGCCCGGCGCGCGGCTCCGGGGGATCGTGGCTCCCGCCGGAGTAGGATGAGAGCTGGGTGCCGGCCGAGGGGTCCCAGGGACTCCGGGTGGCGCCGCCTCCTCCCCTTCAGTCCCCTCCGTTTACCTCCTCGGCCAAGGTCACGGCCCCGCGGCTCCCCTCCGGGCGTGCTGCGGGCAGGCGCTGTCAGCTGGCGGCAAGCGGAGCAGCGAGGCAGGGCAGCCTCATCACACTCGCGCTGCTCAGGCCACCGCCACCCTCGCCGCGGTGCACAGGCGGCCCCGGCAGCCGCCGCTCGCTCCCGCTCCCCCGGGCCGCTTCGCTCGCTCGCTCCCTCCTCCGCTTCTCCTCCCGGGGACTGGGACCAGTCGAGCGCGCGCTGGAGTCGAGACGCCCGGCCCGTGCGCGCGACTAGGGGGGAGGGAGGAGGCGACGGTCACGTGGGACAGGGACGCCCGAAGGTGCCGGCTCGGACGGGCTCGGCTCCGCCGCCGCCACACCCCTGGGTGTCCCCGGTCTCCCGACCCCGCAGCCCCTCGGAAGCACGGGCCCTGTGCCTGGCGCTGGTCAGACCACGCTCCCGCGCCCCGCCCGCGCCGCTGTTAGGCCTGGAGAGCCAAACTGAGCTAAGCAGGAGGAAGGGCTTGGCGGAGGGTGGGTGGAAAGCTGGGTGGGTGAATGGGTGGGTGGGTTGATAGAGAGATAAGGCCCCCTACCGCTGGCAGGTCTACGTCGTGTGCCTGGCGACCCTTCTGGCAGAACTAGGGAAGCAAATGATTGATAATCAGCACAGAGAGCTGCTGGAATAGCCCAGATTTGAAAGCAATGGCCAGGACCAAATTCAGCAGCCCCTCCTCTCCTGTTTGCCTGTGGCTTTCACTGCCTCCTCCTAAGTTGGAGAAACGCGAAGGAATTTGGAGGCCTTGACCTAAAGGGAACAGTCTCGCCACCTGTGTCATTGAAAGACCATGGCTGAAGTCTAGCTGTTTTAACATACTGGACTCAGAGGAACGCGGCTTCTGTTGGTCCCTGTATTCTGCCGGGTTCACAGAATCACAAAGGGTCTGTGATTGCTGATACCTATGAACTCTTCAGGTCCTTGCCGCTGATTTCTCAAAGGTTAGAAAGACATGAAAGAGAAAAGTGTTCATCAGTTTTCTGGGACATTAGGAAGTTGTAGGAGCCTAAGAATCTCTCCACCGGTTCCCTAGGTCTTTCTTTTCACTGCTCAGCAAAATTCTCTTTGTTTCCAATCTTTTTGAATGGGTCCTTGGAATTTTTACTCGAACCCTGCTGCTCTCTCTCCAGTACCCCCACCCCCACCCCTTTCCCTTTGCCCTGTCTACTTCGGGATACTCACTTGGTTTAGATGGATAGATATGGAAAGAGGGACTGATGGATAGATGGATGGATAAGTGGCTAGATATGGAAAGAGGGAAGGGCCTGAAGGAGTCTCTAAGGCTAGTTACAATTGCCAGGAAAGAACTAAGGAGGAAGATTCAGTCCATAGACAACTCATAATTTGTGTCTCTATGTAAAGGACACCTTGATAATTTATCCTGATAATTTATCAGGACTCCCCACTCTTCAGATGAGACCCAGGCACACAGCCTAGATCTCCCCAAATCCATCCGTATCTTAGATTTTAACATTCACCTTCATAATTTTCTTATGTAATGGAGACTTGTATGGTATAAATAAGAAAAACAAACATGGGTATTGCTGGGCCTTTTTTTCTGTTTTAAAACCCTAAGTATAGCATAATCTCAACTGTCATCATTCAAATTCATTTTACTATTTTCTCTATGAACCATACATGTTGTAATATTTTTGTTTTAAAAAAATTAATTTTTGAATGTGGCAATATTACATGCCAGGTGGGACCTCTGATCAGCAGGCAAAAGGCCTGCTTGTAGCCTTATCACGCTCTGCCCCCAAGACATTTAAGAGCTTTTTTCTTTCTGTTTAACTTTAACAGTTTCACAATGGGAAAGAAATCTAATTGTATTACTATTTTTGAAATATGAGAAATAGTGTCTATTTTTGTAAATAATTCCGAGTTTAGGCATCCTAAGTTACCACTTTCTGATGTAGGCATGAATTTTCATTCTGGAAGTAGTTACTTATTTACTGTGAGTGAAAGTTTCCTCTGTTCTTCTACAAAGAATTTAAGCAAGCACAGTAGGTATCCTTTGTCCTTAAAGAGTCTCCAGTCAAGTTGGGGAGATATAAAGACCTCCTTTTCTCATGCCTTGCAACCAGTCCAGTCAGCAGGTCCCAGAGAGAGCATCCAAAGGAACCGTGTCAAGTGCAAATGCTATGTGATTTCCATACTTAACATCTCCCAAAGGACTCTAAGCTGCTCAAGATGAAAGATGTCCTCAAGACACCAACAATGGGGAGTATTATATGAACATGCCCCTGCCAGTTCTAAAGTTGGTGTGCTAACCTGGTGCCCTAGTTGGCTTTCTGTTGCTGTGATAAAATGGTGATCAAAACCAACGTGGGAAAGGAAAAGGAACTTGGTCTTTCAGGTTACAATCCATCATCATGGGAAGTCAAGACAGGAACTCCAGGCAGGAACCTGGAGGCAAGAGAAGCAGGGACCATGGAGAACCAACTGACTTAATGGTTTGCTTCTGCTGAGTTGCTCAGCTACATCTCTTATATAGTCCAGGGCTCCCATTCTAGGGATGACTCCACCAACAGTAGGCTAGACCCTCCTACAAAAAAGCCCCACAGACATGGCCACAGGCCAAACTGATCTAGGCAATTCCTCAGTTGAGATGAATCTAACTTGTGTCAGTTAACGGAAACTAACCAGCATACTTGGCTACTCTGCTCCAGGCACAGCATCTTTGTGTTCTTTTATGTGTTATAAATATGCGAGTGCCACAGGGCATTTGCACTGGCTCCGCCCCCCCATCCTATCCAGAATGTTCGGCCTTCAGATGTTGGTGTCACTCTTCCGCTCTTATCTCAAGAGATACCTTCTCAACAAGGACAATTATGTTCTCAATGAAGACAATTATGCTCTCAAGTCCTACATAAAATAACTCATCCTCCCTGTAGTCTTTTACACTCTTGCACCAATTGAGTGTCTGTTCCTTGTAACAGGACTGCAGCTTGCTTATAGATTACACTTGTCTTTCTCCTTAGGTTCCATGATGGCACAGACATTTTCTCTCCTGTTCACTGCCCCATCCTCCAGACATGGAGGATCTGTCTGACAAGAGTAGAAAGAACTTTAATTACTTATGAAGCCGATGATGAGATGAGGTCATCAGCATGGTTCACTGTGAACCTCTGGTCAGACTGGAAGAATAACTGTAGATGATACTGAACGGAGCTGAGTAGCACCAAGACCCATCATAGACAGGAATGACCTCCCCTTTGAACCTGCTTCCTCTCTATCATCATGGCAAAGGACAGCTCCCCCCATCATACACCCGCTTCACAGATGAATGCTCTTAGCACGAATTAAATGGTAACATGGAGACATCATTTTGATTTTCAAGAAGAAAACTCATTATTAATATGAGGCTCTTGCGATGTAAAAACATTGAAGTGACGGGGCAAGCAGAGAGAGGAGATCTGTGAAAAAAGGGAATACCATTCATAGTAGCCCATTGATATTTTACAGGATAATTGATTTAAAAGTGATATAAGGAAGTGTGGCTTTAGATCTCTAAGAAATAGCTTCTCTGCAATCAGCTTGCTATTATTTATAGCACAATAAACTCATTGTTGAATTATTCTCCACTCTGGAAATCCCTTTGGCCACTTTGCGGCCATTTCCCTGGTAATTATCCACACCAGCATCAGACAAATGAGAAAGGAAAACTAGGGTTTCTCTATACTGTGGGCTGCTTGTCTCACTTTCCTGCTGAGGGGTTTGAGTTCTGATTTAAAGTAATTCCATAGACCTAGATGGAGGGGGGAGGACCTTGGACTTTCCACTGTGCAGGGAACCCTGACTGCTCTTCGGACTGGAGAGGGATGGGGAAAGGAGTGGGGGGAGCAGGAGTGGTGTGGGAGGAAGGGGAGGGAAATGGGAGGCTGGGAGGAGGCAGAATTTTTTTTTTATTTTTCAATAAAAAAAAGTAATTCCAAAATTATCCACTTTTCTAGTGTGCAGTAATTGAGCACACATTTCCAATGAGACTCTGAATGATGTCCAGAAGAGAATCCAGAAAGTGTAGAGATTTAATGGCACAGCATTAGTAAGGCTTCCAAGGGCCATGCCTTTGACTCCTTTGCTTAAAATCTAAGGAACAGAGAGCAAACAGGTTGATTGGCTTTGTCTTCAGTTCCTTCATCTATAAAATCAACTCATGTTCTGGTCCTCATTTTGTCCTCCTGAAAAAAAAAAAAGTCTTTAATCTGAGGCGTGTTCGTCAGTCTTGTATGACTCTAGCAAATGTCTAAGGACATCAATCTGTAAAGAGAAAAGGCTCGTGTGTGCTTCCGATTTTGAAGGTTCAAGTCTGTAATCAGTTGGCATTTTGGCTTTTAGGTCTGTGGTAGGAGTGTGAAGCCAGCAGAGCCACTGATGTCTTAGGAGTAGAAAACTTTGAAGAGCGGAAGCCCGGGCTACTTTTGAGGTCACACCCTCATTGATTAAAGACTTCTCATTGTACCCTTCCTCTCATGGTTCCACCACCCCACAACAGCTCCGTGCTGATGACCGTACTGTTAACACAAAGGCTTTCGAGAGACACAAGCAATACGCATGGCAAATCCAGCTCGGAAAGACAGTCTACGTTGATATCCATATCAAGAGAAACAGTGAGCTAGAAATCTACAATCATTTCTTCTGGGAAGATGCTAGGGGCTTCTATGTCTATAATCATCAAGAAAACTATATACGACAGAGAGTGTGTTGCACTCAGAATATGAAAACTGAGAGGTAATAACTGCACAGTGGGAGAGAAAAGGTAGAGTCCATGAAGGATTGCAGAGCGTGCCCACAGCAGGCCACCCTGGGACTCTCATCAAGTGACAGCCGAGCTCAGCACCGGCTTGACAGGCAGCTGACTCCTGGAGATGGGGAAGCACCAAGCGCCCAGCTCCTGTTTGGCTTCCCAATTCTCAGCAAAGAAAAGCAAGCATGAAACTTTGAAGGAAATCATAATTACAATGGCATGGGGATGAGCAGGAAGAGGCTAGGTCTCAGAAGCAAATGAAGAAACTGGGCTTCCACGGCTTGCTTCCTTTCTCAGAACTGTATATCTGGGAGAGTTGGGCTGAAACATAATTCCAGCACCTTTAAATGCCAAACCTGGTGCTTCCCACACTATTCAACTTCACCTCGGAGAGGCAACTGAGTTCCTAGGAGACAGAAGAAATAGTAAAGGACACTCGGTGGGGTTGGGCTCTGGAGTCAGGGCAGGCCAAGCCATTGGGATAGATAGGACTTGGCAATGCAATTCTTGGGGACTCTGAAAAGCATGCTTTAAGCACCATCACTCTTACATAGCCTTAGAGGCTGCATTGTTGATGGCCTGGTCCCTGACTTCATGTTGTTGGGAAGTGATGCTGTCCCCGGTGTGTATT